AGAACAGCTCTGGTTCTGTTCACACAAGAATCAAGGTTGGAGGAGACCTCTGAGATCATCGATTCCAACCATTAACCTGTCACTGCTGGAACCCCTGAACCCTAAACCAGATCCTCCAGTGTCAGATCCAGATGCCTCTTCAACGCTCCCAGGGATGGTGACTCCACCCCCTCCCTGGGCAATATCCCAGTGCCTCAACACCCTCACAGGGAAAACATTTCTCCTCACATCCAATCTGACTCTGCCCTGGCTCAGCTCAAGGCCATTCCCTCTAGTCCTCTCCCTGCAGCCATGGCAGGACACACATCCCCCACCTCTCTCCAACCCTGGCAGGGAGTTGCAGAGAGCCAGGAGGTCACCCCTGAGCCTCTTCTCCAGGCTAAACAAACCCAACTCCCTCAGTCCTTCCTCATCCCACAGGTTTTCCAGCCCTTTGCTGCCCTCATTGCCTTTGGCTGGACTCACTCCAGTGCCTCAACATTCTTTTTAAATTGAGGGCCCCAAAGCTGAGCACAGCACTGAGCTGGGACCTCCCCAGTGCCCAGTGCAGGGGGATGAGCACTGCCCTAGTCCTGCTGCCACACACTGATCCAAACCAAGATGCCCTTGGCCTCCTTGGCCACCTGTGCACACTCTTGGCTCCCACTGAGCTGTGCCACCAGCACTGCCAAGTCCCTTTCTGACCAACACCTCTGTGCCCAGTCCTCCCCCAGCCTGGAGCTGCATGGGCTGTTGTGTCCCAAGGGCAGGACCAGCACTGAGCCTTATTGAACCTCATGCAGTTATCCTCAACCCACTGAGCAAGTCGGTCCAGATCTCTCTGTTTATTGAGGTAAGACCACAAAGTCTCCTGTCCAAGATAACTGACACATGTGGTGATTTGAGGGATCAGTTAGAGAGCACAGATATCAGCTCCCAAGGTACCAGTGGTGCATGAGACACATAGAAGAAAGCACATAAAGACACAGTGAGCTTGGGGATATGGACATAGGCAAACTTTTTGTGGGCAAGATCCTTTCTAACTGAAGAAGGAAGATGTTGAATCCACCATGGAGAGATGCACAGCCTAGTATGGAGGAGTGGAATTCATCATAGGCAAGATCTTGGTCTCTGAAAACACTTTTGCTCTAAGTTTTTTAAGTGTTTCAGAGCAATGACAAAATACATCTAGGCAAATGCTTACAGGTATTTCATGGTTTTATGCAACTTACTGATTTTATTATGCAAGATGAAGCAAAGAAAGAGTGGTGGGTTTTGAGTCCTTATGACTATGTTTGCTAAGGGTGTAGAACAACCTCTGCTATCAAAAGTGATACCTTAGACCTTGGTCTGCTGTGGTTGATATATTTGCAACTTGAAAGTCAAACATTTGCTGTGAAAGGGAGAGATGAATATTCTTATGTCAGCATTATGCTCACCTACATTCTTACAGCATATGTACAGTAGCCACTTAGCATCCTAGTTAATTTTATCCAATATAAAACAGAAGAATATGTGAAAAGGAACAAAATTAGGACTGTAACTTTTCCACCTGGCATGAGTATTTTGATGCTCATCCTTAAGCTAAGGCTTTAGTGGTTTTTAATCAAATTCCTCCTCTATATATAGCTAATTAATATTGTTGCAATGTTAATGCTTCAGTGGCTGTCAATGTATCCAAGATTTATTTTCCTGAAACCTGTCATTACCCTGCCATTTCACACTCTCACTTGGGGTGAATCTGCATCACAAATAACTGTGAATATGTAAATGAAGCATTAAAATTACACCATTAGAATTAATCAGTCTAAAAATGCAAATGATGAGATTCCCCCAATCTCTGAAGCAGTACCCAAGTGAGAGAGGATGATTGCCTACAACACTACACCATGCAGAGTTTGTCTGAAGATGCTCAGGATGGATTTATCCATCAGAGAAACATGAATGAGGCTCAGACCTGAATGTAGCTGGTCCATGGGGACAAAAAAAAAAGAGTGTGAGTGGCCAGCAGCAAGAGGCATTGCTTGTGTCTGATGGTGTTAACATTTATCTCCCTTAACCCTGAATTCCTGCTCCATGTGAGGTGAGGCAAGGAGGAGAGGACATCAGCAGATAAGGTGTTCCTTGGCTCTCAGGCTCAGGGTCCAATGCCCTGGAGAACTGAGCCAGGGGACACTCGTGAATATAAGTCTTTGCAGCTCTCCTCATCCCTTTCTTTTGGGATGAAAGCTTGCATTTGCAGTGTAATGCAGCAGAAACTGTCACTGACCTTTACAATTGTGGGTGTTGTACTTTATCTTCAACTTTAGGGTTTTATGGTTTTGCTCCTGATGTTCAGAGCATGGTAGGATCCTGGAGGACTGTGTTGTGTGTGATCAAAGGAGTTGTCTGATCTTTTTTTCCAATGCAAAGTGTGCCAGCTGGTAGAGGTGATGTCTGTATGGGCAGGAAAGATGTGATTTCAGGGAAAGTGCTTCCCTAGACTTCTTTAAGAACCTGTATAATCATAGATAGGAAAGAGAACATTGTCTGCACCTAAGTACTTCAGCTGGGAATCATCACTATATGCTCTTCATGGTAGGAGCTTTGCATAGAAAAAAAATATCTGGCATACTACAGCCACTGCTATGGGATCTCACAAAACCTGTATTTTCCTATAAATCCAAACTATCTGGGAGTGATATTTTGGTGTTTGCATGTGTAGCACTGCTGATTCCTATGGGAGAACCAAAAATAAGTATATTCCACTCCAGCATTTTAGCCATCTTGGGATGTTCCAAGCTTTCTTAAAAGGCCACAAGGACTGATCCATCCCCTGCCTCAGGTGTGCTAGTCACATGGAGATGTCAGGTGGGAACCCCAGGTTACTTTTATGAATTTTACTTGTCAGCAATAGCATTTTGTGTCTTTTCAGCTGCCCCACTCACCTCACCCACCTGTTGGTTTGCAAGCCAAAGATAATTATCTATGCTATGGCTAGGGTTAAAAACAGTTTTATTGGTGCTCTGCTCAGAATTTGGATAGAGTAGAATCATAGAATCATCAAGGCTGGAGGAGACCTCTAAGATCATCAAGTCCAACCATCAACCTGTCACTCCTGGACAGGTAAATCTTAAACCAGATCCTCCAACATCAGATCCAGACACTTAAACCCTTCCAGGGATGGTGACTCCACCACCTCCCTGGGCAATCTATTCCAGTGCCTGAACACCCTAATGGGGAAAACATTTCTCCTAACATCTAATCTGACTCTCCCCTGTCTCAATTTATGACCATTCCCTCTAGTCCTCTCCCTGCAGGCATGGCAGAAAGAAACCACTAGAGAGTAGTGACACTATGTTGTGTTAGAACTGAGTTTTCAATATAGCATCTCACATCCTCTTTTTGCAAATTTTCCCCAAATGTGGCCAGGAATATGCACAGGCTCTATTGAAAGAGCATCCTTAGGAGTTCATCCTTTCCTAGGTATATGCACAGGGGCAGAAAACCAACATAAATTTTTATAAAATTTAAAAAAACCTCACCCAACAAAACCCAATTTTTTCTGCCCACCATATCCAAATGCCTGAAACAATCATTTTCAAAGTTTGCCATCTGTCTGATAACAGGCACAGAAGATTTTTGGCCAGAAAGCAGGGACTGCCATAAATTGATGAACTGATGAAAATAGGGTTCAAAGCAGGAACCCAATGACAAACCTTCATTGTAACATTCCTTCACATTTGGATGCATTAGCATATCTAATAACACACAACCTTCTGTTGGTTGCTTCTAGGACAATTCCTATTTAAGACAGCACACTAATATGCATAGCCATCAATAATTGTTCTAGCTACTGACTGTGGCAATCTCAGTGTCAATCAGCAGTCAGCAACCTCAGTTATACCTCTAGATAGGAGTCAGGGGAGTAAAAATCACAGACTGACTTGCTGGTATGTATTTTTTATCGGGTTTGGGAGATCGAGTAAAAATCACAGACTGACTTGCTGGTATGTATTTTTTTTTGGGTTTGCTTTCTTGTGGCTATGTGTGTCTCTGTACACAGCCTAGCTGAAATATGCAGGTATCTGGCCAACTAAATAAAAACCTTTGGGGGAGTAGAAAGTTTAGAACTGCCATTAATACAGACAAGGAAAGTTGGTCTTTCCTTTATTACATACATAGAGAAATCCACGTTAGCATACAGAAAGGATTGGGTTATTGTGCCTGCACCTTTCTTGTGGCTATGTGTGTCTCTGTACACAGCCTAGCTGAAATATGCAGGTATCTGGCCAACTAAATAAAAACCTTTGGGGGAGTAGAAAGTTTAGAACTGCCATTAATACAGACAAGGAAAGTTGGTCTTTCCTTTATTACATACATAGAGAAATCCACGTTAGCATACAGAAAGGATTGGGTTATTGTGCCTGCACACACATGCACACAGGGGGAAGCACAAAAAGAAGGAATTCAGAGCGATTGATTGGGATTTGTATTCTGATTTATTCCCTCCACACCAAAAGGAGAAACACAATGCTGATGGATCCCCGTTTTTCCCACACACAATCTGCCTGCAAAGAGGAAAAGCTACCTTTGTTTCATGTCATCTGCTCTTGCTACAGTGCAAAAAACGCTCCTTTGTTGAGCTCGGCAGCAGGAGTGTGCACAGAGGTGTAAGGAAGCTCAGACCCCAGCTTTTCTACTTTTTTTTTTTCTTTTTTTTTCTCACCTCCCCGCTGGATCACACACACAATACAGTCATTAAAAATACCCACCCATCATCTCATCAGCTCACTGATGTGTCACTTTACTGATGGACATGCGGCAGCAATTGCTGTGCTCAGAAATTCGTCTCTTTCTCCTCTTCACACCCCTCGCAGTGCGCTCAGGAGAAAAGGGGACAGGCAATCCTCACATCCTTCCCCAACAACCCACTGGGGCATTAATCCACCCACTCCTCCTCTCTGCACCCTTTGTTCAAAGCGACACCTTCAAAGCTGTGTGAGTGGGGAGAGAAGGGGAAAAAAGGGATGTTTACTTACAGAGCAGGATCAGGCAGTTAGTGTCACCTCCTGGACCAGGGGCAGGGGGTCACATCCATTAACAAATGTGCAGAGAGCACTCTGGCCTGCTTGCAGAGGAGAGCTGGACAGCCAGCTGGGGCTTTCTACTGCCTGCACAGAGCAGCTCCTCCGATCCCAGCTCTGCAGGCAGTGTTGTGTGGAAAGAGGCTGCTGCCTTCCCCAGCCTAGTGAAACCCCTCTCTATCATTTTACCATATAAGGAGACAAAAGCATTGGAGACATTCATTCTTTGAGGCTCTCTGCAGCTGGCATTCGACACTTTTCCTATTCCAAGGGTGTCAATACTTCCCCCTCCTTTAAGCATCTTGTCTTTCTTGGCCCCCTTCCTAAAAATCAGGCTCCCCCTCCCCTCCTCCAGCCTTTGTTTCTCTAAACCCCTGATGCTTATTAATAACATGGCTTTGCAAAATCCAAGGGCTTGTTCCTTACAGAGGGAGAGGTTTCACAGCAACTCAAGCCCAAACATTTGTAAGGCTCTTCACCTGGCTGAGAGAATAAAGTGTTGGGTTAAAATTGGTCCGAGGCTTTATTTGCTTTGGTCATTTTGCCTGCTGTGACTTAGTGCCTTGCCCAAAGAAAAGTGAAACAAGCTGTCTCTCTTCTCCTTTGTGAAGAAGTGCATGGTTTTATGAGGAGCAAGTGTACAGTCATTTCTTTACGAGCATACAGAGCCCATTCTAGTTTCACTCCACCCTTCTTTCTTTCCAAGTTCCCCCATAGTCAGGAGGAAAAAAAGAAGAAAAGCAGGAGAAATTAATGAAACAAAAACCCCTCTTTGTGTAAGAGAAAGCCAAAGGAACAGATTGTCTCAGCACATGCTCAGTACCCAGCGGAGAGCCCTGCCAGCGGGCACGTGTTAAGGAGAGGGGGAACTATTAATCCTCCTATAACCAGGAACTCATTTTTCTGCTACAAAATCCAATTTCATCTATCAACCATTCTAGCAGAAACACATTCTGTTAATCAAAACAGTGAGGGTCCTGGGAAACCTCCCAGAGGAGAGAATTTTGATCAGGGGAAGATGGGAGATGTCTGCTCTCTGCAGTTGGAGGGGTAGGGTGGGGAGGTTTTCAGGGTAATTCTTCAGTAATGCCTGCTGCTTGCCAAAGGGAGGTGCTTTCATTTGAATGCTTTCCACCTTAAGGGAAACCAGTAAGATAAAAATGTCAAGCCCATTAGCCTGGGACAGTGTTGCTGCTGTTTTACATCCAGAAGATGCAAGGTAGTCTGGAGTACTTCTGTGTTGGGCACTGGGTCCTGGCACATGTCTGGGCAGTGGTGCAGGTGTGAACATGGGTTAGCTGAGGGTTTTTCCTGCAAAACAAACTTATGCCAGAACTCTGACCTGTGCTTGCTGTCCTCTTGTGCACCCAAATGCTAGTCAGACTTGGAATGGGGCTGAAATGTGTCAGTTGGTCTCAGTGCTACTCCAAATCTAGAAAGACACAGACAGAATCAAATGTTGGGGAAGGGTCATTCCTAGTTCTTCTATCAGAAGCCAAATCTCCTTTACAGATGTGATTTATCTTGATGACCAGCAATGGCCATGAGTCTGTCTGCCATTAGATAGAGCCTTTGCTATTGTGTTTTCAAAACACAAGCATCATGCCCTGGAGGACTGACCATGGGCATATGGGATTAAGGATGCCATGGCAATTAAATCTTAATTAAATCAAAACTGCTGCACTCCCCAGTCACATGGGGAGTCCCTGACTCTTCCCTTGCATTTGCAGTGGCACTGGAAGGTGAATTAAACCAGACAGTGAGCAATTTTCAGTGAGCCCTTGAGCTACCCTGGAGCTGCACCTATATCTTGGGAGAGCTACTGCTTGGGTTTCGAGTTCCATCAGTGACTTGCTGGGTGCCCTTGGACAAGGTATTGCATTGTTCTGTACTTTAGATTCACTGTCTGTAAATAGAGAGATCAGGACTGCCAAACTCATATGTGAGTTGTCAACAAATTTACGAAGGATTAGTTAGTGCATCATCACCATAATCATCATCGTTTCTTTCATTTAGATTAAACTATTGCACAGTGACTACAATAATAATTTATTTCCACCTTAGTTACAGTTCTTACCTCAGCTCTGATTTAGAAGTGCATATAAAGGAAAAATAAAAGGGCCTTGAAGGTGATTACATTTGGCCTATTTGAGCCAGTTCACCTCCAAACTTTTCTGAACAAAATAAATATTCTGAATGTGTTACTTAATTTTTTCAATTTCCAGTATATTTTCATTTCCCTATCTGTCCATTGACAGTTACAGCAGCAACTCTGACAGAGATTTTTGGATGTGACCTGCAGGCATACACAGCAAGTGTTTTCCACAATTACAATCCAAAATATATACTGGCTCCAGCTGAAATGGTTTATTTTAACTGTTGCAGGTCATGGGTTGACTTGAGATTCAGATTCGTTGTTAGGAGAAATGTTTTCCCTGTGAGGGTGTTCAGACCCTGGAATAGATTGCCCAGGTGGAGTCACCATCCCTGGAAGTATTGAAGAGGTGTCTGGATCTGGTGCTGGAGGATCTGGTTTAGGGTTTAGGGGTTCCAGCAGTGACAGGTCAGTGTTGGACTTGATGATCTTCGAAGTTGTCTCTAATCTTGATGATTCTATGACTTTAGGAAGATAAGATAATTTTTTTGTCTGATTTAATCTAACATCTCCAACTCCTTGAAGGCAGAAGAGCCTCTGGCAATTCAAAACTCGATGACCTGTGGGCTCACTATGGGACTTGACACTCAGCAGCCCTGTCAAGACTGCATGGACCTGTGAAAGGGATGAGGGAGAGTTACCAGGCAGCATCTTCCCTCATCCCATGATGAGATGTACACCCTCCATCAAACACCACTAGGGAAGATACAGTAAACATCTGACCTCTTATCCTTCTACAGGAACTCCAAAACTACTCACACCACATTTTTGTCTGGTCAGCAAATATTCATCAGTGATTGTTAACCCCCATCCCTTTCCTACCAGCATCAAATACACGAGGCATGGCTGGGTGGGAGAAAACTAAATTTCCTTAAGTATCAGAGAGATGGGGAGGAAAGGTCAGGGGCTTTGTTCACTGACAAATTTATCATGTCACCCATTTC